AGTGGAAGAACGAAAAGAGAGAAAAAGCTGACCTTCATGGGACTCGAATCCATACCTTCTGCTATCCGGGCAGATGTTCTAAGCGAATTAGACTAGAAGGCGCACTCGACTGACAAGTTAGTGTCCATGTGAACTATCATGGACGCTAACAGGCTCGTAAGGAATTATTTTAATGATCCAATCGTTTATACACATGTTGTAATTTTTATTTTTTCCTTCTCTATTATTTTTATATCATATATGTCAACTCCTTCATTTGTTTCGTTGAATTATCTAATTATTCAATCAGTTATCCTTTGTATGATAGTATCGTTTATCTCTATGATTCAAAGTAGTAGTTGATTCTTTCTCCATAGATTTTTCATTTTTATTTATGCATAGCTCGAGGTATTTTTTCTGGAGCTTACTGCAATTTTTTGACGCCATTCATTTAGATTTCATATTGTTTGTAGATCGAAAATCCAAATGAATCATTAAATCCAAATGAATTTTTGAATTTTTAGTACTTTTATGAAAATCTTTTACTTTAATATAGTTAATCCTGATACATATGAAACGATCGAACATTACCAAAGATGTTAAGGTTTTTTTATTATCTATAGTAATAATCGTATCGTAATATTTATAATTTACTCTTTCATGTAAATAGATATAAGAAAGAATCAAATAACTTTTGGTTATATATCATTAATAAGTTTCTATTCACTGTTCTGAAATTAATACTTTTATCTTTGAAACTATTTTAGTCGAAAAAAATTTGTCTAATCCAACGTAAAAAGAGCATAAAAAGGATCAATAGGAACACCTTCTACTATTCGTTAAAAAAATTGATCCAGAGAAATCTTCCATAGTGATTTTAAATTTAAGATCTATTTTCATCCTAATTTTAATATTTGATTGATCATTAATTATTAAATAATAAAAATATTTAACAAATTTTTCTTACTTTGTAAAAAAAACTGGACTAAATATTATGTTGTGTATAGAGTTCGCATTCGAAATCAATTTTTACTCTTATCTGCATATTTAACGGGTGGGTCATAAAGAATGGTGGTCCCCGTATTTGTTGGATATCTCGGCCAATTTTTGTTCTTTCGATCTAATTTTTTTTCAAAAAATTCTTTGTTCAATTCTCTACAAAAATAGTTATTTTTATTATCCTAGGTAATTTCCCTTGTGTTGAGACAATCGATATAATCGATTAGTCCAAGACAAGCAACTTTCAAAAACAACATCTTTTGAAATCTTTTTGGCAGCACGTTTTACGGCCATAATTAGTGTCTTTTTAGATGTCACTGCATTCCACTTGACCGCTTGTGCAAGTTCGTTCCAAATGCAGTAATCCAATGGATTCAAATCAGGGCTGTTTGGAGGCCAATGATCCTTGTCAATGAATGAGGGAAAATTTTTGCCACACCATTCCTGTGATTTTGCATGGTTGTGTGGCATTGCACCATCCTGCTGGAAGGTCCAATTGTTCCCAAACATTTTGTTGCCAAACTTGAGAGCGACTGGAAGCACTTCCTTGATGTACCGATCATGATCGACTGTCCCATTCTCGAAAATTACTAGAGGTGATACACCTTTAGAACAAACTCCAAGCCAAACCATAACCTTTTGCGGAAATTTTCGTTTTTGCCGGATACCACCTTTGATATCGGCTTCTGAACGATTAATTGCCCATATTCGGTCATTTTGAGAATTATAAACTCCATCAATGTCGAACATTTTCTCGTCTGAAAACAGAATTTTCATCGTGTCTTCTTTTCGGAAGTTCGTTCGTATCCAATTAGCAAACTTTATTCTTTTTTCTTTATGCTCATTAGTGAGCAATGGTTCATTTTGTATTTTGTAGGCCTGGAGCTTTAGATCATTCTTGAGCACTCTCTGAACACTTGTTCGAGAAATACCCAATTCACGGGCTAGTTTTCGAGAGAACACAAACTTTCGTCACTTCTTCCGGTGATTGATGTTTCGGATGGTTGCTTTTGTTTGGATTGTTCTCGGGCGACCAGATGATCTTGATAGATCGATACAACCTGTGTCACGACGTATGCTTTTACACCAGCGTTCGATTGTTCAAAGACTAATGGCACCGTTGAGATATCGAAAGATCTTTGCCGGCTTATCACCAGATTCATAGTTTGAAAGTACGAGGCTTTGAAAGTCTTTACTTTTCATATTATGACATAAAAAAAATATAATCAAATGAAAGAGAAAATACCCAGATTTGTAGAGAATTAAATGGTGATTCGTTCAAAAAACAATTAGATCGAGCGAATGAAAATTGGCGGAGATATCCAACAAATACGGAGACCGCCATTCTTTATGGCCCACCCGTTACTTATTAGTAAAAAACTGTTATTATTCTCTAAAATCTAGCGGATGAGCGTGCAAAAGTTTTTATTATCAAAATATATAATGAAACTGTTCTTTTTCAGTATACTTGAATCTTTTCGAATAATAAATTGAAATATGGGTTGATAGTGCTTTCTGCAATTGTTAAAGGTTAGAAACAAATGCTTAAGGTCTACTGGATGAAATTTAATGAGACTAATGAAAAGACAGTCTCATCTTTTTTTTTAATGAAAAAATAAATGCGGAAATCTCGGATTTCTGTCCAAGATTATGTGTACTTCAAAAAGTGAATGAACAGACCCGACCATCCTAGAATGTCTGAATCTAAAAATTTGTTTGGCAAACCTTTTCTATAAACCTTTCAATTCTATTGCCTACTGCTCATCCAATAGGATTTGGAAGCGTATACACCTCAGATTCGAACTCTTCGACCTAACTTACCCTTAGAAAGGCGTTTTTCCTATAACTTGATTTCTATTGGTCAATGCTCAACCAATGAGCCTTCGAGGTCAGTGGAGTACTGACTCGAGTTCTCCATACTAGAAAACCTTCGATTATCACCTCTATGATAGAAAGGTAGACTTCTCATTGGGGATCGATTGGAGCGTGCATGAAAACCGAACCGACTTCCGTTTATTTATCTTACCAACAGATGAGTTAGTTTTCTTGTTTCTTAATGTTTTATATATGATTTTTTAGCTCTTGGAATTCTCTATTGAATGATATATTATAGTTGGGGTTTTAATTCACTATGATAGGAAAAGTCTTTTACGAAAGTAGCGATGGGTCGATTTTTCCACAGAAAGCAATAGGTAAAAATGGGTATTTTTGCAATAACTCAGGAAGGGCTCGGCTGATCCTTCTCATCTTCGAATTTGACCGAGATATTGTTAAGACTAAGCTGTGTAGAAAGCTTCATCGTAATCTGACTCTGCTGTCAAAAGTTATCATGTAAACATCCGACCGGACGGACGGGTACACTAACTATTCTATAGTGTACTCACTTTTTGAGTACACAAAAACTATGATTCAGTTCAAAACTAATATCAGATTCAGAATCAGCGTTAAAAACTGAGTCGATTTATGTATTTTGTGAATAATTATTAGAAAAATT